GAGAGAAGAGAGAGAGAGAGAGAAGAGGTTATTGTTGTTCAAGGAGAAAATGTGTATATATTAAAAGAAGAGAGAAACTGCAAACGTTTGGTTGTAATTTTTCTCACGCACACACACGCACACACACACACACACACACACACACATATATATATATATATATATATATATATATATATATATATATATATATATCAAAGTGAACATTGAGGTCAACACTCAGAGGCGATAGTCTGTTTCATGCTAGACGCAATCGTCAGGCCTGACGGCTGTTTCATGCTAGACGCAATCGACGCGGCCTGACGACTGCGTCGAGTGGGAAACAGCCTGTCACCTCTGAGTGTTGACTTCAATGTTCACTTTTACATTTATATTTACATACGCTCTATTTCTGATACTGAGCACTTTATCCCGTAAATATAGCACACCTTAAAACTATATTTCTTCATATAGATATAGATATAGATATATTATTATTATTATTATTATTATTATTATAAACGATATGTTTAGTACTCTTAGTGGAATAGATATCTTTAAAAAAACAAGAAAAACAGCGAAATTGTCACTTAACGGCCTGGTCAATGGAAAGTCTTATTAAAGAAAATTGCCACTCAACAGGGATCAAACCTCCATTCACTTAAAACGTTTGAAACCGTTTCCCATCTAGGCGGGTTTAACAACTTGACTACGAAAGAACAGACAACGGCATAAGGCGAAATTACCTTTTTTAAAAACGATACATTTCTCGTTAGGAGTTTTTTGAAGCTTTCAGCAGCTAAATTTCCCAACCAGAAAGGTAAACAAAGCAATTTTTATCTTTAATTAATAGATAGATAGATAGATAGATAGATAGATAGATAGATAATGTGAACATAGAAATTAGCAATGACTGGCTCTTTCACATCTAAAGCGATCTCTAGACCACCGAATAAGATTAGGTGATCTGTTAATCACTTCATGCATTACACCGCTAGTCACCATACAATGTTGATACCTATGTCCACATCGTTTATATTTACAAACGCTATATCGACACTAAGCACTCTTCGTCCATAAATACAGGAAATTTACATAACAGTATCTAGATATCTGTCTAGTCTTGGGAACCCTGGGCTGCAGACGACACTCGCCCATATGTAAATCCGACACTGCCTGCCATAAAAGAAGGCTGATATTTACATCGCAGCTTAAAACTCCTTTTTTTTTTTTTTTTTTTCTCTTTTTTTTCTTTTTTTTCTCTTTTTTTTTCTTTTTTTTTTCTTTTTTGTTTCAAACGTAATTTTAATATTCCATAATACTTTGTTTAGTTTTTGGAATATTAATCCAGTGCACCTTCGGATTTCTGCGTCACCTTTTTCATCGTCAGTCATAAGGGATTCCCAGATTGTTAAATTTCCATCCTTGTTTTGATCTTTAATAATCTTAAAAAAAAAGAATGACCAATGCCACAGACAAATAAATATGATAGAGACATTTAAAAGATCTGAAAGGGAAAGGGAGGAGTTTGAGGGAAAATGAAAGAAAGACGGAAATATAAGCGAAAGAAAAGGAAAAAGAAACAATCGATGTAAGTAGTAATGATTAACCATTATTGCATAAAAAAAAATTCCTACAATCTATAAAATATTTTCTGGCCTGAAATAACCTCTAAAGTGTTGATAAGCCATAAAAAATGAACCAACTAAACTGTCCCCTCCCAGGTCAAACTACAGCTGATGTCCAGTATCTTGAATGCTCCCTTTGGTCACGGAGATGTAGCCGTTGATTCCATCCTGGGGACCCTCCAATAGCCGTTGACTTCAGTCTGGGAAACCCTGCACCTCGTGATGCCATGACATCAACGCACTGACTGTATGCATAGTTGTGGCGACCAGTCTACCCTATTGTGCTAGATGACCACTTACACAGTTAAGAAGCTTTATCCGCCCTTTGATAGCTCTTGTTTTAATAATGTGTGGAGCTACTCTGTCCACCAGGTGGGGGGATGGTCTAGTCACCGATAACCGTAAAAGGTATGAATCCACTTCTTCCCCCCCCCCCCAGCTATGGGTAAATAGCAGGACAGATCGGGTTCTATATACTTGGATGGCAACTTGTCTACCGTAGAAAGAAATGGCAACCTACTCCAGGAAAAAACTGCCTCGTCAGTCATGTATCGAAAGATATATGATCGTCTAAGCGTGTATCACGTATGGCACATATCTGACAGATAGCATTTGTAAAGGAAGACATTCTTAAGGACAGGACAGACCGGGTTCTATAGCCTTGAATGGCAACTGGTCTACCACAGCAAGAAATGGCAACTTACTGCGGGAAAAAATCTGCTTCGTCAGTCATGTATACTGATAGCAGTTGTAAAGGAAGACATTCTTAAGAACAGGAGATACCGGGTTCTATAGCCTTGGATGGCAACTGGTCTACCACAGCAAGAAATGGCAACCTACTGCGGGAAAAAATCTGCTTCGTCAGTCATGTATACTGATAGCAGTTGTAAAGGAAGACATTCTTAAGAACAGGACAGACCGGGTTCTATAACCTTGGATGGCAACTGGTCTACCACAGCAAGAAATGGCAACCTACTGCTGGAAAAAAATCTGCTTCGTCAGTCATGTATACTGACTGATAGCAGTTGTAAAGGAAGACATTCTTAAGAACAGGACAGGCCGGGTTCTATAGCCTTGGATAGCAACTGGTCTACCACAGAAAGAAATGGCCACCTACTGCGGGATAAAATCTGCCTCGTCAGTCATGTATCGAAAGGTATATGATCGGCTAAGTGTCTATCACGCATGGCACACAACTGACTGATATCAGTTGTAAAGGACGGCATTCTTAACGATGATTTTTGAAAGTTTTGAAAAATGAGAGATGAAAATGTAAGCGGGAGAAATGATGAAATAACACTCTGTAAAAAAAACCTGAATGCGGCTTACAGGCAAATGGTTAATTAGACAAAGACAGACTTACAGAGTTGAACAAAGTGAAATAGAAAAATGTGAACTGACTGAGGTAGTAAAGGAACAAGAAAAAGGTCAGATTTATAAAGAATGAGAAATGTACAATGAGAATAAAGAATGATAAACCAATGGTTTATTGTAAAAGAAAAGAAGAAAAAAAAAATCAAGGACGAAAGATAGATATCTAATAGTAAGTCTATGTAAGAATGATTTACACAAGAATGTTTCCCAACGCCCCGCGAGATAAGCGCTCCCCGTCTTGGCGAAGCAATAAAAGAAACATTTGCAATACTGCCATTACTACTCTTCCTAATATTCCCCTAAATGTGCGCATGCGCGTGCCAGGTGTGTTTCGCCAGCAGCCAACAAACGGAGGCACGTTGGCAGCTTCTCGATTTTACATTCGCCACGAAATTCCACTGGATTATCTGAATTTACACGTGTAGGAGTACACGGACATACTTTTTGAATAATCCTTCCTGAGACTCTTGTGGTATTTATCAGAAATCTCCAAATGAAGATTGGTTCCTAAAAGAATTAGTCTAAAACAGCCACTTCTTAAATTTCTCGTCTATGATTACATAGACGAGTCAATGTCTCGATACACTAACATATAAATATATTTTATTGTTTCATAGTGAGTTTTATCTCAGTTGACCTTGTACCGATTAAATAAGGCGAAACTATGAATATACTAGTTCTTGTTAATGAGCGGGAATCTTCTTCTTCTTCTCCTGCTTCTTCTTCTTCTTCTTCTTCTTCTTCTTCTATGTCACTTCAGGACATGGGCGATGATGGGTCGCTGCAACCTCCTATCTACTGCAGTCCTTAGCAACACTTGCCCATCCCTTCCACCACCACCCCGTTTATATTAGCTCGTAAAGTTGGTGGCCCGCTGCCTTTCCATTGTATCTTTTACCTTCAATATGTACTGTCAGTGTCAAATTCTCCAACCCTTCCTTCCTCATTATTCGTCCAAGAGATTTCACATGCCAGCGAGAATCTACATTTTGGAAAATCCTTCATGGTAATGTTCCCATTGGCAGTATTTCCAACTTTTTTTTTTGTCTCAGACATTGTAACTTCAAGAAAATATTTCTGGGTATAATATTATTTCTTCATTTTTCAAAGAGAACGAATAGACGCTGGAGTTCTGCGTCAAGCGAATCTACGTTTAGTCAATAAGAAAAGCCATTTACTAAAACGCGAAAGTTAACGTGCTTGTATTGAGAACCAATTCGCTTTGTACCTGCTCCTTGATTGTTGATCTTTTGTCAGACAGTTACCATGCCTATCTTAGATATTTGTTCGACTACCTTTCTCAACATGGTTATAATTATAGAGCACTCCTTAAGAAATCCAGCATTAGGAGAGAAAGGAATTAAATATTCCTCTATAACAAGTATCTATATCAGGGTACTCTATGTTTGCGGCTGGTAGCAAACACCTGACGCATTATTGGGTCATCGGCGACTAGCCCCCCCACAACACACACCTGGTGGACAGAGTAGCTCCACACATTATTAAAACAAGACCTATCAAAGGGCGGATGAACCTTCTTAACAGTGTAAATGATCATCTAGCACAATGGAGTAGACTGGTCGCCACAACTATACATACAGTCAGTGCGTTGATGTCATGGCATCACGAGGTGCAGGGCTTCCCAGACTGAAGTCAACGGCTATTGGAGGGTCCCCAGGATGGAATCAACGGCTACATCTAGGTGACCAAAGGGAGCATTCAAGATACTGGATATCAGCTGTAGTTTGACCTGGGAGGGGACAGTTTGGTTGGTTCATTTTTTATGGCTTATCAACACTTTACAGGTTATTTCAGACCAGAAAATATTTTATAGATTGTAGGAATATTTTAATTTAATAATGCTTTAGTGATACAAATCTTACCATAAAAGAAGAGGTGGATACTTTTCCCAAGGATATTTGCGCGTCCGTGAATATAACGAGCTCAACGGGAATTGGAACTCGGCTCTTCAATTAAGAATTCAGAGTCATTATCCATTACACCACATGCACATCCAAGCTTACAGTACCTTGTATTTCCAAGCGGTCACTCATTTAGGTACTGACCAGGCTCAACGTTGCTTAACTTCGGTGATCGTACAGGAACCAGTGTTTTAACGTGATCTAGCCGTAAGAAGAGATGGGCTTACCCAATCCATATCTTGCTACGCATGAATGAATACCTCACTGGCTTTCAACCCAGATATGTTGAATGGACTGGTCACGTGCTCTGTTACGCAGTGACCCTACGATCACATTTGGTCATGGGACTAATGATGATGATGAAAACAGCTATTAATGGTGGAACGTGGGAATTCAAACTCAATGTCGTGTCACTTATGTTCGTCATCGAGTATGAAACAAAGGCTCATTATGATTCTCCCTTCCTTTTCGCTGTCAGGCTACATTGGCATATATTGGGGGTTCTTATATCGAATTTTTGCCAAATAAAGCGATTAATTATTAACCTGAATGCACCCAGGAAATATTTAATTGCTGTTAAAATTTATCTCTGATGGCCGACATTTAACTACCTCTCTAAAGGGGTAGAATAAGATGCGATTAAGTAAACGTGATGGGGGTCCACATGGGTACGTGTGGGCAAGGATAAAAATTGTTTACTTTCTGCAACCAGTGTCAGAAAATAGTCAGAATAGTTCGACACCATTTTTCTGGAATGGGAAGGTGCTGCTTCAAAATCGGTATCCCCAGAGTCAGGTATGCCTCGTTATTTTATTTATTTTTTTGCAGCCTGCTACCTGACCATGACCACACAGCTGTAGAAGAGAAACAGATACTACACTGGGTATTTAACTATCTCCACTCACGATAGTAAGAAGTAACTCGTTGCCAGTTTCGTATAGGGTGCCGATTAACACAAAAATGGGTCATGGACAAAAATCGCTCCATCTCCGCAACCATTGCCAGGCTGGCTTCGAAATCCTCCGACCTGCCATTGTTAGTGCGATGGAGGAAATTCTACTGCAGGTTTGAAATTCCTGGGATACGGCTCACCACCTCACATGTCGTGAACTGTTCAAAGGTAGAACAATGGCGTTAATATCCCGCATCGTAATACCTAAACATTTTAGAGGAAGTACATCAGATACTACGCTTTGATCCGCTATTTACCCACCTCCGCACGGTGGTAAGATGTGATGCAATGTCATTTTAAATGTGGAATTCCCATACCTGTACACATAGGGACCAAGACAAAAAATGGCCCAGTCCCCGTGACCACTGTCACGCTGGCGTAAATATCCATCAGCTATCCTACTTTATTGCAATGAGGGAGGTGCTACGGCGGGGTTAGAATCACAGGGATTAGTCTTCCCTCATAATTAGAAAAAGAAAAGGGGTAACATATATTACACTTTGATCACACCCTAAAAGCCGAGTAAGGGTGAACAGTTTCTCGTAAATACAAAGTGAAACAAATTTAACGGAAGCGGGGGAAAAAGAGAAATACAAAGGAAGGCAGGAACAAAGGACTAATCACAAGTGGACAGAAATGAGAGAATATCTCGAATAGTCTCAGTAAATGAAGGGAAAGATTCTTCGAAGGACGACGTCCCATTGTGGTGATTATATGCCCGCTATTATGATAGGATACACATGTTCAAATGAACTAATCGACACACAACGCAACAAGCAGTAGTATTTGATTATATTTAATACCCAGATAGAAAAAGAGAAATAAGAAAAAAAGTGGTTGCAGACAATGTGCGTCTGCGGACTTAGCGTAGGAGACATGCGTCCGTTTAACTTGTCAACAGTCCTTCTTGAAAGAGAATTTCTTTCAGTCCTGGGTTAGTTATTTATGTAGTAGTAATTTCTTTTGGTGTTACTGAACACATTCCTCCGTAACCTGATTCCATCGAATGGGCTTCGTGCTGTGTGAATAACGGTTCTGGAAGCAAAATATGATGTATCTTATAAAGCCAGGGGTGATTGGTCCTTTCTTTAGTCATTCGGCGTCCTCGGTTCATCCCGCGCTTAATTAGTCTTAGTTTTTTGAGTGAATATTGTAAATTTCAATATCAGTTACAAAATTGAAGGTGCGTTGTTTTATAACCTCAGCTTAAAGCATAAAGCAATTGTTTTTTTTTAAGTGTTAATACTTGTAAATCATTTAAAAATCAATCCAGATTTATGTGAAGAAGAAGAAGAAGAAGAAGAAGAAGAAGAAGAAGAAGAAGAAGAAGAAGAAGAAGAAGAAGAAGAAGAAGAAGAAATAAATAAAACTGATACAGGAAAAGGAACGAATGAAGCAATGTGAAAGAGTAGAGTCAGTAGCCTGCAGTGGGGTGGGAAAAGGGTGTAATAACCCCGGGTACCCATATCGAAAGGGCATCCAATCAGAGTGAAATAAAAATTTGGTTCATGTTTAATCTGAATAATGTGCTTATTTCATGTTTCATCTGCTTTTTCATATTTAAAATTTCTTCCTTTCTCACATTTCTCAGTACTTGAGTATTAGGGGCATACAATCAAGGAGTTGACCCTGGGCATCACCAAATATACCAAAACTCTCCACGTCACTGAACAAAGTGCTGAAAATTTCTTCGCCCGACCTACTTCTCTAAATCTTGCTAAATGAAAAATTTAGCTAAATAAATACCATATATATATAGTCTTTTTAATGCGTCAGAAAAAATTTTATGAAAAAGTAGACAACCAAAATGAAACCAAACAAAGTTATGTATGGAATAAAGGCAATGGAAAATTTCTATTTGCCATTGCCGCCATCTCTTTTCTCTTCTTTGACATTAAATACCCAACGTGAACTTGAATAACTGGTAAGAAACATCGTTAATGGACCAACTGATAAATAAATAAAAGTCAACAGCAGGAATGTCAGGCCGATCTACACAGGCGGATGTATCTAGGCGGCAAATATTTGTACGACTTGTACTGCTTTAATGTAAACAAGTGTTTAAATTGATGGTATATGAGCAGATATGTATTTACACGTTGCTGTTATTAAATGTATAAACGCCTTAAACTCCATCGTGGCGGTTGTAGCCTCGTTCTGAAGTTGGCCTCTTTAAAATGTCTCTAAACTTCCTTTCACTCGCTTATTCACTATTAGCTGGATCAGAATGACATTCAAAAAGCTTATTAACTGTTGTCTGGTTATTTTAAGCAATTCTCATCCATTTTTTATTTTATTTTTTTTATTATCTTACCGCAAATCTTCGGAGAGGGAGCCGGATACACTCAGCGGCCCTAACAACTCTTGAAAGATAATAACTCTTCTTTAAATTACAGACGGCATCTATTTGATTTATTCAACAAGCAGGATACGATAAGAAAGGTACAGACGATTAACAGATTTCATGGCAGAAGCTTTAGAAGAGATTAAAAACCTACACTGTGTGGAACAGTTCATTTTCTCAGGAAAGTATAATCAATGTAAAAGAAATAATATAACATCTGATTTTTTTTGCAAAGAAAATGGATATACATAGGAATTTTCTTACCTTGCTCTTGGTAAAGGATTATACTAAGCCGGAAGTTAAATAATAATAATAATAATAATAATAAAAATAAATGCCCTGACGCTGCACCAGTGCTGGCTTTCATGGCTTCTGATGTTAAACGATTGGAATTGTTAACAGGTTGTCTTAGTGAATTAAGACTGGCTACAGTAAACCATCGTTCGTTAGCATAAATCTGTTTGTCAGTTGCCTGACCATAAACAGTTGGTCATGTTCTCTTGGGGTTGATGCACTGTTCATCTTTGTATATGAGAGGTAGTAATGGAGGAGCATGTTGAACGTGCGTCGATATTTTCTTTAAAGTGTGAAGGATGAGGTAGCCAAGTCAACTTGGGCGTCACATCCAGATACTTGGGATTACCCTCACTTGGAAACAATTAGAACGAATTAGGTTACCCGATATGAAGATATTTCTAAATGGGCCTCACTCCCGGTAAGGTTATGCGCTTTTTTTCATCAACACCAGCCAGAATATCACGCATACTTGACTAGGGGGCTTGTGCCTGGCATACCTTTATCAGAGTGGATATCATGATAGCTATATTGAGCAACATATATTGTATACCCCAGCCTCATTTTATTGGCATACCGAACTCTGTTTAAATACTATTATTACTACTACTACTAATAATAATAATAATAATAATAATACAATTATAATAATGGGAAAAGCGACACTGAAAAACCGAAAGTGCATTGGAATAAGGAAAGATGTCTTCCAAAAGCTAAGCAAAGTATTAAGAAACAGAAAAAAATCATTCGAAACAAAGAAATGAGAACTAAACTGTTAGGTAATATCTTCTTAATATCCTTCTGTATAGCCGTGAATGCTGGACAATCTTCTCGCAGATGAAGAAGAAACTTGAAGCAACAGAAATGCAATCCTACAGAAGGATGCTGAGAATAGCATGGACACAACATGTGAGCAACGACGAGGTTTTAGAGAAAATGGAAACAAAAAGGATACTTATACTTAACACCAGGAAGAGACAGTCGACATTTGTAGGGCATATAATGAGGAAAGAAGGCTTGAAAAACTTAATGCCCACAGGGAAGATTGAGGCAAGATAGACAGGGGAAAACAACGCATAATCAACCTCGAAAGTTTGAATAAATGGGTGGCGGAACAAGGTTTAGATGAGACAAAGAAAAGACAAAATTTATTAGGAAATTGTGTAGAACCATGATCACTGGCGTCCGGAAAGGACTCGACAAATAGAAGAAGAAATAATCAAGTGGATGTGCTGTTCTAATGAGAACACAGGCTAATGACCAACGCGACTTAAATCTTTCGTTATATAGCACTAGCAGGCTTCGCCCGCTCGCTATCGCTTCGCAAAGATATAGTCACTACTTCAAATCTTTGAAACAAAAATTTTAAATGAACATTTCATTCGTTAATTGGCTTGTTATAGTTAAGGAAAGTTTTACAAATAGATGCCAACTTGTTGAAAGCCAAGTAAGATGCAAATTTCAAACACTTTTCTGTACTATATAAGACAATATTCCTAAACAGAATAATTTTTTTTATATAACAATCAAAACAATCCTCAAATAAATAAACAGTAATGAAGGACATTTAATTAATAAAATAAACTTTTTTGAAGATTAATATGCAAATTAGTTAAACG